CAAAGAGGTTCCTGCAAAGCACTGATGATAATTTCTTGACCCAGGTGGTGGAGACGCCAACGAGGAGAGGTACGCTGCTAGACCTTGTACTAACGAACAAAGAAGGTCTAATTGGAGAGGTGAAGGTTGGGGGCAGCCTCGGCTGCAGTGACCATGAGATGGTGGAGTTCAGGATCCTGTGAGCAGGGCAATGAGTAGGATCACAACGCCGGACTTCAGGAGAGCTAACTTTGGCCTCTTCAGGGACCTTCTTGGAGGTATCCCATGGGGTAGGGCCCTAGAAGGAAGAGGGGTCCAAGAAAGCTGGTTAATATTCAAGTATCACGTCCTCCAGGCTCAAGATCAGTGCATCCCTCTGAGGAAGGGTGTCGAGAGGATGGGGCCAGTCTCTTCTCCGTGGTGCCCAGTGACAGGACAAGAAGCAACGGGCAGAAACTGAACCACAGGAAGTTCCATCTGAACCTGAGGAAAAGCTTTTTTACTGTGAGGGTGGCAGAGCACTGGCTCTGAGGTTGCCCAGAAAGGTAGTGGAGTCTCCTTCGCTGGAGATATGTAAAACTCACCTGGATGCGATCCTGGGAAATATGCTCTAGAGGACCCTGCTTGAGCAGGGGGGTTGGACTAGATGATCTCCAGAGGTCCCTTCCAACCTCATCCATTCTGTGATACTGCAGCAAACCCAGTGAAGGACCATAAGATAATTAAGGAATTAGAATATCTGAAATATGAGGTGAGGCTGATAGGGCTCGGACTGTTTAGCCTGGAGAACAGGAGGCTTGGGAATACGTATGAGGGGCGGGGATAGTATCGGTGTGTATAAATACCTGATGAGGAGAGTAAAAAACACAGACTGTTCTCCGTGGTGCCCAATGACAGGACAAGAGGCAACAGGCACAAATTGAAATACATGAAATTCCATTTAAACTTAAGAAGAACTTTTTCCTGTGAGGGTGGTGAAACACTGAAACTGCTTGCCCAGAGAGGTTGTGGAGTCTCCATACTTGGAGATATTCAGCACCTGACTGGACGTGGTCCTGGATAATCTGCTCTAGCTGACCCTGCTTGAGCATGGGGGTTGAACTAGACAGTCTCCAGAGGTGCCTTCCAACCTCAATTATTCTGTGATTTTGTGAAGTCTCAGCATGACAAGACACTAAGGGAATTCTGAGGCTTCAGCAGGCAACTGGAAACAGACTCCTGCTTTTCAAAGCTTAGTACAACTATCACCGAGTACATCAGGAAGCAGAGTCTGAGAAGGATGCTCATTATGTGATAACTCTAAATGGAAAAGGCCAGTAAATAAAGTCTCTCTAGAACACATCCCTCTAATTTACAGCCAACTAAAGCTTACATTACCAGTAACAGTCATGACACAATCACAGGCTTGAACCCAAGGTATTGCTACTGTTATGGGCTCTGCCAAGTGGCCAGAAATACAGCCTGGTTACTAACTGCCTGACCCACAACTACCGTCCAAAAAAAATACTATTAACTGGAAGAGAAATCATTAGAAGAACATGAAATTGGCAAAGTTGCAGGAAAAAAAAAAACAAAAAACTTTCCTCATAGTCAAAGGATCTGCTACTGAATGACAGACTACCTATTCTGACCTCCTGGCACAAGTGACAGACGTTGGAATTGCATAACTATACACTTCAGCCTATCAGTTCCTTCTCCCTACTTTGAAACTTGAAATAAAAACATATGCACATGAACAGCAAATTCAGATGCGGTGCTCAGAACAAAGGAGTCTAGCTTCACAAGTTTAGTTTAAGCTGATAGATACTCCTGGGAGGATCTGGAAGCACAACAGATAAAAAGAAAGCCAGAATTCTATTCAATTGTTTATCCCCAAAGAAAATTTGGGAGGAAAGTAATAAATAAAAGGGAAAAAGCAGATGGAAAAAAGACTTGCCATCATAAAAGACAGAGAAAAATGGAGAAACGAGGCACCTGAATATCTTCCCTAACAGACGTAAGGTAGTATTCACTGAGGCAGAGAGCAAAGCCAATCTGCATTAGGAATTATATACTGATTAACCAGAAATTAGAATAAGTAATTCTGAGTGGGATCCTCTTTTCTTTTCTGTTGTCAGGCAGGGAAAAAAAGAAAAGCTTCCTAAAACAAGTGGAATCAACAGCACAGAGAGGAAGATTTGTGAAGGAGAAAGAACACAAGAACAAATGAATTTTTCCTCAAGCTTCTTAAGGAGAGATAAAAAATAAACATGTAGCTTGTTACAAATATAAAACCATAAGCTTCAAAATAATCATGAAAGAGCAGACACAAAACACAGCAATAGAGTGACGCTTTAGAACAAAAATAATGCTGTTGCCATTTACTTACATTCATGATGGCATTAATTTTAGAAACGGTTTCATCATCAGTTGGAAACTGGTATATCTGGATGCCATTACTAACCAGTTCACTCATGAGTTTGACCTTGAACTTCTGTAGCTCAGTTTTAGAAATGCTGTCTGCTTTGCCTATAATTGGTATAATGTTCACCTACAGCAATACAAATATACGAAATGTGTAAGGCTTCAATTTTTTCAACTTTTAGACTTTTTAGATTAAAATCTTCGGTGATAAGCTCTTTAAAACTTCCCCATCAATTGATATCTGATTAGTTTCATCAGTTACCAATGAAAGCGTCACACACCATACAAAGTCTATTCATTGGCATCATTTAACAAAGTAACACCACACTATTTAATGAACTCCCTCAAAATTGATTGATCCAGAGAATAGAATGAGGAAGGAGGTCTCACACAGCGAGGTACTCAAAGAAAAGAACAGTAACACGTATTTACTAACTAAACGATAAGAAAAATCCTATTTTTTAACAGGGTTATAAATATTTACTTTATAGAGTTGGGGGATGTGGTTCAGGTGTTAAATGAAAATCAATAGTTTAAATACAAAAACGAAAGGAAGCTGACAGTACCAAACTTTGCCGAGCCCTGTACCTCTTTCTTGGGTTCCTTTCAGCTATAACATCTTGTTCATCTCACCACTCTTAACCACAGCTCTTATTCCTAGACACTAACGCAGCAGTGCATTTCACAAGTATCTGCTGGCAACAGAGGAATGATGAAGGCTCAAGAGTCTTCCTTACCAGTTTTTACACTAATTATTCAGAATTCAAAATTCAATCCTATTATTATGAGTTGCCTTATTTGCTAGAATAGTTATGACAATAACCTGGTATTTTTAATAACACTTTGGCATCTACTGCCTCCCTATTATCACTCCAAAATATACATTTTTCATAATAAGAAACAAAGAATTAATGGCCAAGTATTTTAGCAGCTTGAGGACCACAAACAATTTTTCCAGATTTCAGGAGACAGTTTTTCCAGAGTTCCTTGATGATAAATGTAAAAAGGGAAAAAACCAAGAACACCTACATTCTAACTAAACATAAAATCCTAATCATGAAATCTCATTTACTTTTTTTTTCAAAAACAATTTAAAAAGTCTTCACAAAACACTAAACCAATCAAGAGAGGAAAAAAAAAGAATGTAGTAACAATAGACACTAAGTTACCCAAAGAAAAAAGCCTGTTTGAAAGGTAACTACTTATGCTGACAAATATTTGCAAGGAAGATCATATCCTATCGTAACAACATTTCAGGAATATTTCACGAAAGTTAAGTTTGTGTTGCCACCACCACAATTCTAGACAAAACCCAGGAAGTTATGGTTGCAGAAAAATTCTCCCAAACTCAGTAACATTAAAATGAAAGAAAGTTTTATTTCTTGTTTGTTTGTTTTTTTAAATTAGAAGCATCTCATCTTCACATTCCTTTTATTTTCCTACCCTAATGGTTCTTTCCTCCAATACAAATACCTTACTTAAAATTAAAAAGCCCAATCCAGATGAGTGGATTATAAGATTTACCAAGTTTTTAAAGTATGCCTTTCATCTGTGTTAAATAAAATGCCCAAAAGAAGAGAAGTATACCAACCCTAAAATATGACTAAGACTACCCAATTACAGTCCTTAACTATGCGGCATATGCAGCCTAAGTACATATGTGGTAAATTATATAAAATCAGATAAACAGAGCCCTCAAACTTAAATTTTCCTTCACACTCTCAGGACTATGTGACCTCAACATGAAAGTTTCTCAAGTACTCATTAACTAGAAAAGAACTGCTTGCACAGTGAATAACACAAAAACTACTGAGGGGATAAGTTACAAAGGAAAAGCAAAGTCGCCACAAACTGTGATTACAGCTATCAAGATTGATTTTAATACAACAGTTGTGATTTAACATCTAAAAGCAATACACATCTGGTTTTCAAAGCAAAAGAAAAGGTTATCTTTGCTTAATCTTTTAAAAACATTTATTTCTGCTTGCAGCATCTAAGATTTACTTGAAAACTAATATCTCAGTACTTCCCTCCAAAAACAACATTAATTGTAAGCACACGTTTGTAGCAACGAGAGACTTTAACCTGTTTTGGACCACAGAGAAATGTGGGAACAATATAAGAGATGCACAGGAACCCTTCTACAGGATTCTATATTAGATGTCCATGCACTTATTTATTTACATGCACCAAAAATATAACTGTTCCCTCCCAAACCTCCCCCTGTGCCCCAAGTCCCAGTGCTCCCTCCTAAGCCTACTACACCCTTGGAAACCATTTGACTCTTCCCAGTCTCTTCCCCAGCTACAAACTCTCACTACTACAAAACTGAATTTTACTACAAAGCTACAGACCATGTTACAGAATCATTTTAACCCCACACTAAAAAAAATCTACTCTTGCAACAAATGCAACAGCCCTGTACTTCCCCTTCCCTGCACTGCTCTTTTCCAGGTAGAACTAAATTTGCGCAGCAGTGCAAGGAGATCAGTTCCCTAACCAAGCAAAAATCTTAAGGCTTCAGTTTAAATTAGTTCCCATATTCAGGGAACTGGTGGTCCAAAACTTAAGCACGCACAACAGGAAGCAGCAGCTGAGACTGCCTCACTCAGCAGCAATGCAGAACCATGTTTCATTAAAATGACCAGATAAAGTCACCAGGATAAACCTTAAACTTTATCCACGTACATTATTTCACTGTCTGCCGCATCAAGTGATTTACCTAAATCTAGCCCTCTCATTATCCTTCTGTCTGAAATGCAAAGGATCATTATTTTTTTTCCCCACACTTAGAAAACATATTATTACTCCAAATTAACGTTGTCAGGTAACACCTTAGAGTACAGCATAAGGAGGCAGTAGATGTTTTGGCATCAGAGAGGAAAAAAGATATATACTTGGAATTATTCCTGCATGATATCTTACAGGCTGATTTAAGCATATTTGTAGGCACCTGTATGTTAAGATTTGCACTGAACTCTCAAATACAAAATCTTCTAGCTGAATAAGGTTTTGGTGGTGCATGATTCCCTCCAAATTCCCAATTTCCGTGCAGTAATTCTGTACAGATTGGGACAAGAATTTCCAAAGACTCTTCATGAAGAAAAGAGACCAAAACCCCACAAGATACACTCACGTAACTTGCTGACTTCATAATCACCCGTATAAAATTCTGCAACAATCGCTCAAAAATAGGTATGTTACTTAAATATTCACTAGTTCACAGCAAGAAAGCATAACAAGGAAATCCCCTTCATCTCTGAATGAAAACTGGCTGATCTCTACTGATCTAGTCCTAGGCAAAACTACAGGACTTTCCAATGTCTGAAAGCTGGATGCCAAGTTTTCAGCTAGTCATTAAATTTATAATCAACAGGGGAAAAAAGTGAATTGCCCTCAGGTAAGTCTGTTTCTCTCCAATAATTAAAAACATAATATGGAACGAGTTCATTCCAAGTATCCTCTTTACCTCTGATCTGTGTTATATGGCCTTGTTTTGTAGCAAATAGATATAACAAATGCATAACCAGAAGCATTAAACTGTGGCTGGTTTAAGAAGTAGAAACCAAAGACAGCTTCTGATTAGGATTTATACGTTTGATATAAGCATACTGCTGTACTAGCTTTTCTTATTCCAAAGAGAAGAATTATTTTAATTTTTATTCTGACATAAGGACGTTTTTCAGGATGCTGGGACTCAAGGACCTATTTCTTCCTCTTTTGGAAGAAACACACGGCTCCTAAGTGAGTTCAATCTTCAGTAAAAAGCTAGCAAAATCAAGAAATCAGTTTTGCGGTTTAGTACAACCTCCAGTTTCACAGCTCAATTGGAGTAGAACAATGTGCTCCAAGAGACTGGCTCATCCTCTAGTATCAAGGTTCATCAGCCGTCTGTGCCTATTACACAGTAGTTTCACAAACGTTTTAGCCTGGCATAAACCAGCATCACAGCTGAAGCAAACCAACCTGCTCTCCCCTACCTGCTCCCCTCCGCCTGCCCCCGCTCTGTGCTACTGAGAAAGTTCAGAATACGGAACTGGTTAAAGCTGTACCACCCTGCACATCTAATTTGTCAAACAAAATTACAAAAATATTGAATGTGGTTATCAAACACAAAGCTGGAACAGATGGCTGATCTGACCCTTATCTTGAAAAATCTCACAAACAAGAAAACGCAGCGAGACAAATTTATCAGGAGAGGCTCCACTAAAGCACAAAGGAAACAGCAATATATTTACAGGAGCAAAGATACATTGAAGTTTTCAGATTTCCCAAAATTTTAATAAATTAAAATCAAATGATATAAGAGTCCTTAAAACAGGTTAAACATTTAGCTTCATCCACTTCACATAACCACAATTTAGGAAGAAATCTAAGAATTTGGAAAGTGAAGGTAATCACACTGGAAACTACTATTTTAAAGCTTTCAAAACAAATCAAGACATGAAGTTTAGAACACTGATTCAGCCTGTCTTGGAGAAAGCCACACTGGAAGAATTTTTTATTCGTGACACTTGCCTCTTCAGTTACTGTAAACTTCTTTATAGTGCTATAAAACTGTTTCATATGCCAACAAAATCCAGCTGATTTCCAGTAGCCCCAAATAGTTGATAATCAACTAAAAGTAAGCTTTATTAGAAAGGTTACAGCACATGTGGAGGTTACTCTATCCAATCATGATAAGATTTTAACGATTTGTTAAAAAAAGGGAAAAAAAGCACTTTTTAAAAATTTGCTGCGCTGCTTTTTTTAACGTTGTCTTAAAGGAGATCTCTCTCTACCCTTTTAATTTGTAAATAGGTGATGAACTGCAAACTACTTGCTGAGGCAACCTATTCTGGTTTGCACTAAAAATGTACAAACCAAAAAACCAAACACATAGTTATGAAACTGAAGGCGCTAGAGGATCTAGGAGCTGCAAGAGGCTTCAGAAAATATGACAAATTCTTATAACTCTGTTCCAAAGTCTTACCTTGCTGTCAAGACTTTTCATGGTTAACAAATCTAGAGTTTTAAGGGAATGGCCTGTAGGTGAAATGAAATAGAGGCAGACATGGACGCGAGTATCATGGTAACTATATAAAGAACGTTTCATTTTCAGTTCTTCCTGGAGATAGGCTTCGAATTGTGCATCTATATAATCCACTATTGGCTGATAGCTGAAAGAAATAAAATAAATTTCAGCAACCAGAGATTAGCTACTCCTAAGCAGAGCAAGACCTGGGAAATTCCTGTTTTACTTTTTTTTTTGGATTTTTGCTTTACATTTCAACAGGATGCTCGAGTATCTACATAGCAGAAAAGAAAATTAAATGTACTGAATAATCTCAGTTTCCGAGACACTACTTGAAGAACAAGATCTATGCAGTCAATAAAATAATCCCAAGCTACTATTACTGAAAAAGCTATGTATAATTACTTACGCTTGTTACTGATCTTCCCAAGCGATGTTTTATAAACTTTTGCAGTCAAGCTGTGCAACTAAAGAACTCTTAGAAATACAAGAAAAGAAATAACATGCAATTACCACCGCCAAGAAATAGGACCTCTTCTATATTCTGAAGATGAAGTACAGTACATGAGAGAGCTCTTAACCAATAAACACATTGAAAAGGAAGAACACAAGAGAAGAATGAAAATCTGATTTGCAATATAAGTGCAGTTTAAGTATTCTTTACCCTTCATAAAACCAGAAAGCAATCCGTTCTCAAAAAGAAAGTGTTGCTGGATGTAGAAGCAGCAGGCCCTTATAGTTCTGCTGTTACCCAAGGTTTACGAATGGGATCAAACGCAATCAACATAGAGAAGCAGTTGTTACATATTAGATTAATACAGCAGGATTAAAAGACAGCTCCTTGCAATATAAAAAGTTTTACCACATATCAAAACCTCTGCTGTCTGCAATAATATTTACTTGCATCTCATTCATCCGAGTCACTAGCAATAACTGTTTTCCAGTTATGTCGTAAGCCATAGCTCTCATGATAATCTTAGAATAACTCTCTAACTTTCATTCATAACTATCATCACTTAGCCATTTATAGAACACAAAGGATTACAAAACTTCTTTAGAATTAAGGTAGAAAAAAGAAAATTCACTGAAAAATAGTTCAATATCTTAAAATCTTCTATTCATAAAAAAAGAGACTCAAAAAACACTCTGAATTACACCAGCTTTGTACTTCTACATCTTTTAATGAAGCTGTCCAAAACACAAAGGTCTTCAGAAGTAGCTATGATGTTTCTTACAGCTTAAGTTCTTTAATATGTTCCACTGCAATTTTAAAAAACTCTGTAGATCTACTCTATACAACCTGTTGCAGCTTATGACCTGTTTGGCTATTGAAAAAAGCCCCTCATTGACCCTGTCCCCTCGCCTCCCAAAAGAAGTTCCAGTGACTACTACATATTTTATTGACGTATATTTGTAAAAGATGATAATATAAAGAAAGGGGCAGAACAGAAGCTGATGTCTCAAATCATTTCAAAGATAAGAAAAATATGTCCAATCTGGTACAGAGAAAACCATATTTAAAAAATTTACTACAAAATCCAAAGGAAAAAAAAATCAGCTTGCAATTGAAGACTAAAACCTTCTAATATCACAGCAATAAGATGACACTTACCTATCTGCCTTGTTTATCTGGTCACCAAATCCCACTGTGTTTACAATGGTCAGTTTCAAATGAACATTACTTTCCTGGAGCTCATGTGTCCGGGCTCTAAGTCTCACATTCGGTTGAAAATGTGTCGACACAGGGTCATCAAAATTGGTGTTAAATAAACTGTTTATCAGTGTTGATTTCCCAGTTCCAGTTTCCCCTAAAAGTAAAAAAAAGGAAGAGGGAGGGGGAGAGAGAAATTTTGCACATCAAAAATACCTGCAAAGCATTGAAAGTGTCATCCCAGTCACTAGTTGAATTTACAACAAAAACTAGTCAACTGACTTCTCTGAAGAGTACAGTTGCCTGCATTGCTTGTTTATAATGAGCACTAAATATCCTTTATTAAATTCTTATTCCACAGATAAGAGATAGTTACTTACTTATGAGTAATAAGCAGAAAGGTCCCTTGACACTTTGGTGTCAAGTGCACGTAAACTTTCTGTAGACTTTAAAGAACATAATACCAGAGTAAATAATTGATAAGTATAGAAATATTTCAGTATCGTCGTCTTTGGTTTTCGAACTTTTTGATTCAAAATTCTTTGTTAGAGTAAATATTGGGTGTACCCCATTTTGCTCAAAAGATTCCAAGAAGCTGCCCATGAACCAATAAATGCATGGCATCCATCTTCAACATTTTTGATCTTCACATTGCTTATGAAAATGCTAAAATATAAAAACAAAGTATGGATACATACACACATACAAAGCTGAAGGAAGGGGTGGAATCATAGCTCATGCTTAACATTAAAGAAAAAATTCAAGGTTCAAGGTTGCAACTGGATTTAAATGTCCTTAAATCCTTAACTGGATTTAAGGAGCAGTATAGTTTACAATCAAAACCTTAAGACCCCCAGATATTACTCACCTATACAAAGAATGTTGAAGCAGAAGCCTTGTTTGATGGATTTGTTAACCAGTTGATCTGGTAAACTATCAAAACCAACATGACCAGACAGGGACAAGGATCGATAGCCATCATTTTGCTACAGAAAATCATTAAAAAATATTTTAGTGAAGTGAGTTGCAAAGCAGTTAACAATGGTAACCAAGCAACTCTACTAGTAAACTTATAACTCACTATTTATGATTTACATGAAATTAAGAAAAGCAAGTGTGCGGGGCCTCAAATTTACTGTCCGGGACTACTTGCAGGCTCAAAATGAGGTCCATCTTTTGCAAAAACAGAAATAGGAATGAGATAAAACAGATCAGTCTAACCAAAACGGAAAATGAAAACTGTAGACAAAACAATATATCACAACTGATGTGCTCTTATAAAAGAAAAAAATATTTACAAAGAACTTACAAAGGACAATTCAAAACAGGGACCACAAGCACAGGAAGGTATATGCCATCCATCAGAACTCATTCTGAGTAGGTGGAATTGAAATCATTATTTATATAAAGTAATACATTATCTACATGATAACTTCAAGAGATAATATTATAAATATATTATTAGAAATGTCTAGGTGCATATTCCTTACAAAATGTTAGCAGAAATCAAGCATCAAGACATCAAGGCAACAAGCACGCTAAAAATGCTTGCGATTACACGGAACTATTTTGTTTCATATAAATGCACTGTTTTTAAACAAATATTCAACATCAAAAATATAATCCGTCACATGCCCATGTTACTCTTTCTCCTATGTTTCTAATCCACATGGCATTACTGATTCCTTGAAGTATGTATTTGTTAACAGTAGAAACATTTTCATTTAACACTTACAAACCCATGAAAGTGCCACCTTCTGTAATAAGTATGCATAGCAAGTTTCAGACCTTTTGTAGATAATTGCATACACACGCTCCTCGCAACAAATACCTACCCTCTTTTTGCCTTGCACAGAATGGGACTATAGACTGCACGAACTCTCATTTTAGACTAGCATAATCATATAACTCTGATTTTAGATTAACATAATGAGAAAAAAATAGGTAAGCAAACCACACAATTTGAAGAGAGAATATGACATTTTAGGGATATAAAAAACACAAGGTATTCTACTATATAAAAATTACTATTAAAAAGGGCAAGGACATGTCGAAGGTGAACAATATCCTGTTTATTTAAAAATAAGTGTATCTGAGACAAGATTATGCACTGTCGCAGACTGGCAGCTTGTCTAACAACTGCAGTTATATGATACGATATTTAAACCACCTCCAAAATAACACATTTCTTCTGAAACAAAGCATTAAGACTCCACATCCAAAGACAGTGCAAAATGCTCCACATAACTGTAAGATGGAGGCTGTTCATTCCCACATCATCAGCCTAAATCCAAATTGTGTTGGGCTACACTCAGAATCACGGCATAATCATTTGTCACTCTCCATGAGAAAACCCAAGCAGACTTCGCTGAACTTCAGCGGACAAGCCAACCAAACCCACAAACTTACTCACAATTTCCAGAGGCCAAAATAATAACTACCATGTCATCAACAGGAGACTGTAACTGGATTAAAAACCATTTAGCAAGGTGTACTGAGAGAACTAGTAATATAGCTTTATTTACTGTACTAGCTTAGTGGGAAAACGGTAGATTGGCGTCTTCGTAGCCATTAACCCAGTAACTTTTATTTTCAAAAAGAAGAGGAAAAAATAATTACAATTTAGTTTACAAACTTACTGTTTTTGGAAATTAAAACAAAAAAGAACTCGTTCTTCCAAAGTTATACTGACTGTTTATCATGGAAAATTTGACAAAATTCTTTGTGAAACAGAGGACACTGAGGAATAACAACTTGCAAAACAACAAGCTGCCTTCTTTGTGCTTAGCTTAGCAAAATATGGCTTTATTTATAATGCAACAGACATCTGGCTGTATCACTACCACAAATTTCATATCCTAAGTCCAAGAGGTTTAATTTCTGAATGTTTGCATTTCTGAATTTACGGTAAAGAAGCTTCTTATGGATATTTTAGTCAAGAAAGAGAGTGTCAATCTCTGCAATAGGTATTTACGCAGCTGTCGACGTATTCTGAGACATCTCAAATTTGCTGCTATTTTAAAATAGCACGTTTCCTCTTTCTTCAGTATATGAAAGTTAATTTAATGACACTACATAGTTACAAGTTACTAAAATCATTTTGCTGGAAATGTAAACATACAGAAGTACATGGTAATCACTATGTCATTTCAGAGACAAGGCAGAAAAGTTGCGGCAAGTTGTAAAAACAGATTACAAAACTCAAATACTTCCCCAAGTGTAATTGCATTTGTATGCACAGCTTTCCTCAGCACTGACATAGGAGAGGGAGGGAGGGAGGAAGGGAAGGACAGAGAGACATATAATCTTTAATTTGTGCATGTGGAGATGACACAAAGCTATTAGCTGAGATGATACAGGGAAAGACTATAAGAGCAAGAACATGAATCTCTTTCACCCAACATGCGGTCTAACCTCTTAATCACAAGATCACTCTCTCATTCCTTCTGTCAAGAATTAATGACCTAGTAAAACAAAATACTAACACTCACCCCCAAAAAACCTCACACGCTCACCAACTGAATATAAACTGACAACGGAACGTCAGCAAGAGAACACACAAAACCACTGGATACACAAGAACAGGAATTTCAAGCAGAAGAGAACATTATTACTTGTATCAGCCATGAGAACATGTTTCAATGGCAATGTCTTGTCCTAGTGTTCTCATTTTAAAGAGCAAATTAACAAACCTAAGGATGATCCAAAAAGGATAATTCAGAAGCTTGTAAAGCTGATTTTCAAGAATGAAAGAAGCGCAGATTATTTAAGTTCTTTCAAGAAAAGGGCCAGAGTGGACTTGACGTCAGCACCTACAATAAGATTTCTGGTAGCACAAAAAACCGCACTACACAAATAGTAAAATTTGAAGAAAAGACAGAAACAGAAAGATACAGACATCTATTTAATTCTACTTTTACAAAAATGTATCAATTTTTAAGGATTTTCACTGGTACTAAATTTAAATTTAACTGGTACTACTGTATCACACTACAGAAAATGGTGACAACTCAAAAATTAAGAAATGTAAAAAACGCTAAAAGCAATCAAGGCGCCACCATACCGGCTAGCCTTTCCAAATCGGCATTGGTCGGGTGAAGCAGCTAAACTATGCCTGAAGACAGCATATCATCCAACTTTATTCAGTGAACAACTCAAGGCTTGTAATCTGAATGCTATTAGAATTTAAGTCTCTAAACATTTCCTATTTCTCATTTCTTTTTTAGAATTAATGATCTCTTCAAAACAGCACAAAATTTGGCTCAAATCAGATCTCATTCCTCCCCTCCCCGATTTTAAAGGGGAGATTTTCATAGAGCTGCATCTGGATTTCTAGAAAGTTCAGTTAATCAAGAACATATTGGTTATACGAAATGGTCTTGCCCATTAAGAGTGGAGTATGCAAAGAAAAATCATTGCTTGAGACACCAGTAACGTTTAAAAATTATTTTTCTTTCAAAAACAAAACAAAAATAATCATCTTTCAAATTTGCCACGTTTCAGACAAAAATGGTACAACGCTGGGCAATTCCACAGCAAAAGCCAGGCCTCAGACTACACAAGTCCGTCTACTTCAGGCTCCTGTAGAACTAGACTTGCAGTCCAGGCAAATAATTAGCTTGCAAGTCTGCTTGTAGAGATAGATGAAACGTGCCCTCTGGAGCTTAAGGGGAAAAAAAAGTAGGTGTTCCTCTGCATACCCAGCCAGTGAAGGCCCTGCCAAGCCTACAATGCTACGTAGGCTGCACACAGGCTGTTTGAAGGATGTCTGAGAACGAGCCACAGGGGCAGAAGACAACATATAACATACGCATGAGCGCTCCAAAGGGGACTCTTTCAGAGCACTGATTTCAACTGTAATGAACAGGTATAGACATTTGTTAAAAGAGAAAATCTATTTTAACTTTGCAATAGCAAATTGCAATATTCTGCATTCCTCCTGCTACAATCAACTACTTTCCAGATAACCAAAGTGGCATTTAATCCAGTAAATGTAAATGTTACCCTTAACGCGTGAGCAAAGTAGGAGACTAAACAGGTTCTGGAAGTGAACAGGAAAATATTTTCCCTTTTGAAGTGGTCAAAATATTAAACACAGATGCATGAGTATATGTCTGAATTCCATTGAGACCTATCTATATAGATATACGTATGAGAGAGAGAGAGAACAGAAGGGGATGAGTAGAGGGAACAGAAAGGAAATCTTGGCAAAATAACACAGAAGAAAGGGAATAGAAAATATAGGAGAATGAGGTAGAAAGAACACGAAGAAATAAAAGTCCATGAAGATGCAGGGTAAGAATGGAAATATAGAACCAGTTACATGGAATTAATACTTATGAGTGTATTCTATAAAATAAAAAACAATACACAGAAGTCAAATACAGAACAAAACATTCAGTCATGCTGGTTTAGATGGGACTGATCAGCCATTGCTAACACTGAAGGAAAACGTGCGCGGTTTGGGGTCTACAGAGAAAGGCCTCTCTTGACCTGAGTAATTTCAAGGAAGGAAAAGAGAAAATGATAATGCAAATAAAGAAAGTGAAATCTGATGCTGCCCTCTGAGATGACCTTGGCACAGAGAAATACTTGCATGGGTATCAGCCCAGATAGCATAATTGCTGTTACTTTCAGAAGATTTGTACTTCTTGGTCAGTGCTGGCTCAGCTTGGATTCTTGCAGCTTTAGCAGTCTGTTTCATAGAAAGCAGTAATTTAGACTTCTCCACAAGAGGCAATGCTCTAGACCACACCAACCCCCTTATGTGGACTTTCCTTGTCTGAACGAGAAAGCAATGCTGGTGTCTGATGCTAGCATGGCAGTTGCTACCAGAATGCCTCTTTGACTACAGCAAGGATTTTTTTCTCCTTTTTAATCAGTCAATAACAAGCATTGTATGCTTGTTGTACAGGGGCAGTGGCTGCCAGAACTCTCCCAGAAGTCAAATCTTCAAAAATCAGAAGTACTAAATGCTTGCATCTCAGACTTTGTGTGGTCCAATTGTAAACAGATTTATCAAATCAGGTCGGCTGCATTCTGAAAGTGATTTTACATTTCACTTTAGAAACAACTGAAAAGAAAATCCTTCCCAGAATACAGTAAAGAAACACTTTAACAATTATACAGCATTTCTTAAACTAGGAAATATTATTTGATGTCACTCTTCATTACTTATAAACATATTACAAATCCAGCCTCCTCCAATACAGAACCACGTTTTATCTCTATTTCTGTAGTACTGTCCTCTGTAAAGCTCTTCATCTGCACGCTACTCTCACTTCCCTTGCCAGATGTGTTAAGTGTAGCGGACCCTCAGTTCCACTCTCACTCACTTTTGTTGATTTATTGCATCTCTTCCACTCTCTTCAT